AGGCAGTGGGTGGGTTCTATTTTTTAGAGGTATAAGGGAATTGTGTATTTTTGAATATTTGGATTTTTTTTAACGATGTAATGTGATTTATTTAAAATGTGTATATATATATATATATATATATATATATATATACATATATATAAAATAATTTTTTACATTTTTAGAATGTCTTTCTAAACCTTTTCAACGCAGAGGAACCCTTGGAATAACTTTCCGGTCTCAGGGAACCCCTTCTAAAAATGTCTTTATCTACAATATATGCATTAGTGTGATAGTCAGAGATAAGAATGCTCCATACACTTGTGGTCATTGGGAAGAATTACCCCCTTACAGATTTCTAAAAAGATCAATAGTGTCAGTGGGAACTTACCTGAGAGGCAAAAATTGCTCATTGCACAAGGAACCCCTGGCAACCTCTGGAGGAACCCTAGTTGAGAAGCCCTGCTCTAGACTGTCCAAACATATTTTTAAAGAGTGTCTCAAGACTGTCCATAATTTTAAAAGGTGCCGCGAGACTCTCCATAATTTTAGAATCATTCTAACATAACAAATATGAAAAAATGAAGTTATTAACCTAACGAACAAATCCGAAACCCAAAAATGTTTCCATCATGCACATCTCTAAAAAAAAAAGAAAAAAGAAAAACCTATGAAGCATGGTCCAATATGCATCAGCAGGGGAAAAATAAATTCCTTCCTGATCCCCCAGGGGGGGCGATCAGATATTCGATGGTCCCTGGACATACTCTGAAAATGGAAACTACAAGCGGCTATGCTGGTGCACAGTGTAGAGGCATATTCCACTGTTGTCACCATCAGGAAACATGCCCTGAGAAATGCCATGCAACCATCCCTGGAGTACATAGAGACCAAAGGTGGTTGCACTGAGCCCTAACAAAGTTAAGGAAGTTAAAAAAATATATATATCCAGTGCCTGTTGTCAGTAGGAGGAGGAACAGTGCCCCATCATTGATGTCATTTGGAGGAATAGTGCCCCATCATTGATGTCATTGGGAGGAATAGTGCCCCATCATTGGTGCTGGTGGAAGGAATAGTGCCCAAATGTTGTTGTCAGTGGAAGGAATAGTGCCCCATCATTGATGTCACTGAGAGGGATAGCTCCCCATCATTGGTGTCAGTGGGTAGAAAAGTTCTCCATCGTTGGTGTCTGTGGAAGGAATAGTGCCCTGTCACAGTCAGTGGGAGGAATAGTGTCCCATCACTGGTGTCAGTGGAAGGAATATTGTCCCATCATTGGTATCAGTGGGAGCAATAGTGCCCCATCACTGGTGTCAGTGGAAGGAATATGGGGAGGACAATGGTTAGCCCTTCCACCTGGCAGTACTAGGGTCATTGGTTCAAATCCCAGCCATGGTACCACCTGCCTGTAGTTTGCATGTTCTTACTGTACCTGCGTGGGCTTCCTCCAGGTACTCCGGTTTCCTCCCACACTCCAAAGACATGCTGGTAGGTTAATTGGATCCTGTCTAGTATGTGTATGTATGAATGTGAGTTAGGGACCTTAGATTGTATGCCCCTTGAGGGTTAGGGATTGATGTGAATGTACAATATATATGTAAAGTACTGCATAAATTGATGGTGCTACATAAGTACCTGAATTAAAATGTCCCATCAGTGGGAGCAAAAGTGCCCTGTCAGTGGGAGGAAGAGTGCCCCATCATTGGTGTTAGTGGAAGGGATAGTGCCCCATCAACAGTGCTAGTTTAAGGAATAGTGTCCAATTGTTGGTATCAGTGGAAGCAATAGTGCCCCATCGTTGATATCAATGGAAGGAATAGTGCCCATTCATTGGTGTCAATGGAAGGAATAGTGCCCCATCATTGGTGTCAGTGGAAGGAATAGTGCCCCATCATTGGTATCAGTGAGAGGAATAGTGCCCCATCATTGGTATCAGTGGGAGGAATAGTGCCCCATCATTGGTATCAGTGGGAGGAATAGTGCCCCATCATTGGTATCAGTGGAAGGAATAGTGCCCCATCAACAGTGTTAGTGTAAGGAATAGTGTCCATTTGTTGGTATCAGTGGAAGCAATAGTGCCCCATCATTGGTGTCAGTGGAAGGAATAGTGCCCCATCAACAGTGTTAGTAGAAGCAGTAGTGCCCCATCATTGGTGTCAATGGAAGGAATAGTGCCCCATCATTGGTGTCAATGGAAGGAATAGTGCCCCATCATTGGTGTCAGTGGAAGGAATAGTGCCCCATCAACAGTGTTAGTGGAAGCAGTAGTGCCCCATCACTGATGTCAATGGAAGGAATAGTGCCCCATCATTGATGTCAATTAAAGGAATAGTGCCCCATTCTTGGTATCAATGGAAGGGATAGTGCCTTGTGTCAATAAGAGGAATAGTGCCCCAAAGAACCAGGTAAAGGCAAGCAAAGGGCTACTTCCAGTTCACAGATCAAGTCACACTAGGATGCATTGGTGGTCCTCCATTGTCAATGGGCCTCCCTAACACAAAGCAATTTAATGCACCACAAAAATCAGACAATTGAATGACAAATACCATAACTTTCCTTTCCTAACAGCTCCATGTCAGCACAGCTGGGTAAGTGCCCCCCCCCCCCCCCATCCCCAGCTGTGCTGTCATGGAGCTCTCAGGAAAGGAAATGGGCTCTAGATAGACAATCTGCACAGAGTTGTTTTATGTGGAGGACGCAATCACAATACTGTGAATATAATTAGGCCATGGTGAGCTTGGTCCTTGACCTCTATGGGAGATAGGACACAAAGGTTGGACCTCCTGAAGATCATTCATATTGAACGATGGCCTGCGACATAAATCCTTTGGAGAGGTTTACGTCATGCAATTATATTGGTCATATAATGTATGTAATCAGTATATCGACCATGAAAGATTTCTCTCTTCTGGTGTTTGATTACTTGTTTGTGTATAAAGCTGAACTCCGGTCAGCAGTACAAACTGCTGACATAAAAGCTGACTCCAGTGATGGTCGTTTCTTTCGAGGATGTGTGTAAAACTGCACGAGCTTGTGCCTTGCCCGGCCTCCCTCAACCCTGGACTCCTCTTTTGTGACAGCTTAAAAAGAAAGAATACAAATTATTAATAGCACAACCACCTACCCCAATAGGCAGGCATGTTATTATTTATTTGTATTCTCTCTTTGTTAGAACATTGTCAAGTTAAGGCCCCATTCCGGGACTGATCTGCTGCCTTCCTAAGCTTAGGGCTAACATGGGACATTTCGGCATCACAAATGGACTGATAACTGTACTTTGGAGTAGGTCAACTTATTCCTATCAGACCCCCTTCCCCATTCTACTGTAGACATACCTACAATATTTGTACCTTAGATCAGTCCAGCAGATACTTCCTACACCATACAATGTCCCAATCCTGGGCCATATGGTGATTTGCTGCAACTTGACAGCTATTCCATTAGGGCATATGCGCCATATTAGTGGAAATCCTCTGACTCGTATTAGAAATTGAGCACCACACGGGGTAGGTTCAGTGCCGGGAAAAGGTCACCTAGAGCCCAGGGTGAAGATGCCAAACTGAGCTCCCCCAAGATGTATGAGCATTATGTGTCAGCAAAAATTCCCCCCTAAAAAAAATGAGCACTTATATGCATGCTTACCCCCCTAAGTCCCCCTCCTCCAAAGGCAAATCCATCCCCTTGCTGAAATCCCCTCTCCCAGCACTAATCTTTGCCCCCCCCTTCCGGCTCAAATCCTCTCTCTAATATGAATGCTTACCCCCTAAGCATAAATTCCCCCTCCTCCCAAATTCAGATCACCCCAGCACAAATCCCCTCCCCCCCAAAAAAAAAATCTCTCCTAGCACAAATCCTCTACCCCTCACATGTCCTCTATGAGCACACATCCTCATCCCTCACTCCTAATCCCCCTCCCCAGAACAAATCCCTCCAGCACCTAAATTTCCCCTCCTAGCACAAATACCCCCCAATCATCCCTACTAGCACCAACTCCTCACCCCAAAACAAATTTCCTTTCCTAGCACAAATCCCCTACCCCCTCTACCATATCACCTCTTCTAGCACAAACTCCCAAAATCCCCCCTCCTATCACAAATCCTCTTTCCCCATCCCACCTCCAAACACAAATCCCCCCAAATTTCCACTCCTAGAACAATTCTTACCCCCTGCCACCCCCCAAATTCCTCCTCCCAACCAAAAAATTCCCTCCCCCCAATCTCCTTGTGTGGCGCCTCCCAACCTCACAGGATACTACAGTGCCCAGGGCAGCTGCCCCTACTGCCAACACCTTGTATAAGCTCTGGGTAGGTTGCTCTTCCTGGACCAGCTCATCTAAGGTATACAAGGGGTTACAGCTATAATGGGCAGGTAGGTGGATGAGTCAGGTTGAATTAAGTTGGTTTAAAGCAGGGATGGTACATTTATTGGATATAAGGAGCCTCATGTTTGGCCCCTGACATCACCAAGGGCAGCACATATTATCTGGAGTATATCATGCTAAATAAAGACTGAAGACATGATAAAGGAGATGTCGGAGACTGCAGATATACTACAGGAGATGGTCAGAGACTGAAGCATACTACAGAGATGGTCAGAGACTGCAGACATGATACAGCAGATGGTCAGAGACTGCAGACATGGTACAGGAGATGCTCAGAGACTGCAAACATGATACAGGAGAAGGTCAGAGACTGCAGACATGATACAAGAGATGGTCATAGACTGCAGACATGATACAGGAGATGGTCAGAGACTGCAGACATACAGGAGATGATCAGAGATTGCAGATATGGTACAGGAGCTGGTCAGAGACTGCAGACATGGTACAGGAGATGGTCAGAGACTGCAGACATGGTACAGGAGATGGTCAGAGACTGCACACATACTAGAGGAGATGGTCAGAGCCTGCAGGCATGATACAGAGATGGTCATAGACTGCAGACATGATACAGGAGATGGTCAGAGACTGTAAACATGGTACAGGAGATGGCCAGAGATTGCAGATATGGTACAGGAGCTGGTCAGAGACTGCAGACATGGTACAGGAGATGGTCAGAGACTGCAGACATGGTACAGGAGATGGTCAGAGACTGCACACATACTAGAGGAGATGGTCAGAGCCTGCAGGCATGATACAGGAAGTGATCAGAGACTGTAGACATGGTGGTCAGACTGAGGTACAGGAGGTGGTCAGAGACTGCAGACATAATGGTGACAGGAGGTGGTACAGGTGGTTAGAGACTGCAGACATGGTACAGGAGATGGTCAGAGACTGCAGACATGATACAGGAGATGGTCAGAGATGCAGACATGATACAAAGATGGTCAAAGACTTCAGACATAATACAGGAGATGGTCAGAGACTGCGGACATGGTACAGGATATGATCAGAGACTATAGACATGGTACAGGAGATGATCAATACAACTACAGAAAAGAAAAGGCTGGAATGGCCAATAAAGGAAAAAGCTGAAAACCATTCAGAGAGTAGAGGTCAGTACCATCATACTGTACAGAATACACATCAACATTTATAATCTAATTTCTAAGCAGATAGTCATGGCCAGGGGTGGACTGACAACTCATGGGGCCCCCGGGAAATAGGGGATCATGGGGCCCCTGTGTCCTTGCCAAAACTCAAAAAAGCCTATGAAAAAGGTACCAGGGGCATCTCATGGGGCCCCCTACTGACCTAGTCCCTCGGGCAGTGCCCTGGTCATGGCCAAAAATATTGGCACCCCTGCATTTCTGTCAGATAATGCACCATTCCACCTAGAAAATTGTTGCAATTATTAATGTGTAGGCATTCTCATGTTTATTTTTTTTTTTTGTTTGTATTGGTATGACACAAAAAAGTGGAGAAACAAAAAGCCTGTTCTGACACATTCAACAAAAAACTCAAGAAATGGACTGGACAAAATTGTCAGCACCTTCTCAAAATTGTAAGAAACAATTGCATTCCAAGCTTGTGATGCTCCTGTTATTCGTAATTAAACTTACCTGTATCAGTTAATAGATTTTAATGTTCCTGTGTCCACTGTGTGCAACATCGTCAAGAAGTTTACAGCCCATGGCACTGTAGCTAATCTCCCTGGATGTGGACGAATGAGAAAAATTGAACAAAGATTGCAACAAAGGATTGTTCAAATAGTGGATAAAGAACAGCGATCAACTTCCAGACAAATTCAAGCTGACCTTCAGGCACAGGGTACAACTGTGTCAGCTCGCACTATATGTCGCCATCTGAATGAAAAGGGACGCTATGGTAGGAGACCCAGGAGGACCCCACTGCTGACATAGAAACACACCTGAGGAAGCCAAAAGCCTTTTGGGAGAATGTGCTGTGGACAGATGAAACAAAATTACAGCTTTTTGGTAAAGCCCATCATTCTACTATTTTCTGAAAAAGAAATGAGGTCTTTAACCACTAGCTGACCAGCCACTGTAGAAATACGGCAGCAGGTCGGCATGGCTGCGCAAAACCATGTTTTAAAACGTGCTTTTGCAAAACAGGTAGGGGGTGTGCACGAGGCGCGCCACCGCCCTACCTGTCCTGCTGATCACGGCTGCGGATGTCAGTGGCCGGGTCACGGCCGGTCATTACCGGCTGTGTCCCACCGATTAGCGGCAATCACTGACAGAGAGCAGGGCTGCAGTAGCTCTGCTTTCTGTCAGTTCCCTGTCAGCTCCTGACATGCTGAGTCAGAGAGAAGAGTTTATCTCTCTGGATCAGCGGTTTCCCGTGCAGTACACACCCCTGCCCCCTAGTAAAACACTCCCATCACACAGTTAACTCTTTCAGTAAATAAAAAAGTTAACCCCTTCCTCCCCAGTGATATTAGTACAGTGTCAGTGTTTTTTTTTTGCACTGATCACTGTAATAGTGTTACTGGGGATGTCAGTGACCCCCAAGTCAGTTCCCCCCCAGTGTCAGAATGTCTGCCGCAGTCCCGCCATAAGTTGCTGATCGCCGCCATAAGTTGCTGATGGCCGCCATTATTAGTATAAAAAAAAATTAAAAATCCCAGTATCTTTCCCGCCATTTGTAAACACTATAACTTTCATGTAAACCAATTAATTTACACGTATTCAGGTTTTTTTTTAGCAAAGAAATGTCGCAGAATGCATTTTGGCTGAAATTTATGACGAAATTTGATTTTTAAATTTTTTTTACTGGACATGTTTTATAGCAAAAAGTCCAAAATATTGTTTTGGTTTTTTTCAAAATTGTCAGCCGTTTTTATAGAGCAAAAAATAAAAAATGCACAGGCAATCAAATACCACCAAAAGAAAGCTCAATTTGTGTGAAAAAAAGACGTAAATTTATTTTGGGTGCAGCATTGCATGACCGCGCAATTGTCTGTTAAACTAGCGCAGTGCTGTATAGCAAAAAAATGGAATAAATTGCAGTATTTATACCATAGTTTGTAGACGCTATAACTTTCACACAAAGCAATCAATATACACTTATTGGGATTTTTTTTACCAAAAACATGGAGCAGAATACATTTTTGCCTAAATTTATAACTAACTTTGAGTTTACGATATATTTTTTATAGCTGAAAGTAAAAAATATTGTTTTTTCTTCAAAATTTTCCATCTTTTTTTGTTTATAGCGTGAAAAATAAAAAGCGCACAGGTGATCAAATACCACCGAAAGAAAGCTCTATTTGTGTGAAAAAAAGGACGTAAATTTCGTTTGGGTGCAGCATTGCATGACCGCGCAATTATCAGTTGAATTAGTGCAGCGCCGAGTAGCAAAAAGAGGCCTGGTCATTAAGGGGGGTAAATCCTCAGGAGGGCCAGTGGTTAAAGAAAAGAATACAGTCCCTACAGTCACACATGGTGGGGGGTCACTGATGTTTGGGGTTGCTTTACTGCTTCAGGCACTGGATGTCTTGACTGTGTGCATGGCATTATGAAGACTACCAAAGAATTCTGCGGTGCAATGTAGGGCCCAGTGTCAGAAAGGTGGGTCTCTGTCAGAGGTTATGGGTCTTACAGCAGGACAATGACCCAAGGCACATGTAAAAAAAACACCCAGAAATGGTTTCAGATAAAGAGCTGGAGAGGACTGAACTGGCCAGCAATGAGTCCAGATCTCAATCCCATAGAGCACCTGTGGAGAGATCTGAAAGCAGCAGTTGGGAAAAGGAACCCTTCCAATCTGAGAGACCTGGAGCAGTTGGTGAAAGAAGAGCGCTCCAAAATTGCAGTAGAGAGGTGGAAGAAACTCATTGCTGGTTACAGGAAGCCATTGATTTCAGTTATTTTTTCCAAATATTGAATTAAGGGTGCCAATTAATTTGTCCAGTCCATTTTTGGGGTTTTATGTAGAATGTGTCAGATTTGGCTTTTTGTTTCTCCACTTTTTTGTGTCATACCAATACAAACAAAGAAAATAAACACGAGAATGCCGAAACATTTGTAATTGCAACAATTTTCTTGGCAAAGTGGTGCATTATCTGACAGAAATGCAGGGGTGCCAACATTTTTACTATAACTGTACGTTCCTATTTTTGTGAATGTTTTCAGAAGTTCATACTTTACGTCTGGTGATGTATGTTCTATACTCACTGTGATGTATGTTCTATACATTTCATTGTATTTATCTGCAGATATTATTTCCTAATTTACTCCGATTCTGCCGTCACTGGAGCTGCATTGACGTAACTCGGCGTCCTCACATCTCAGAGTCAGAAATGGATCTTGTGGTTGGTAACCTTGAAGACATCTGGCTATAATTAATCATTCTCCTACAGGGAATGGGCAATGAAGCTTTAAATTAAACCTTTTCTCCTTCACTGGTCAGTGGCCACCCAACCCCCTTCTACAGCTAATGTTGGTGCAGCAATGACGTACACGAGTGGTGAGATTGGTATGGAAAATGTAGAGTCGTCATGAGGCTCGGCGCTGAGTTCAGATGAAAATGTTCCAGCATTAGTTTTATTTTCTAGGTTTCTTTCATTGTGAGGTTTTATTTATTTTTTAAAATTTACAAACTCTACATCAACCCTTATTTTATTTATTTATTACAGGTATTTAACCAGTTCCCGCCCGGACTATGGCCGAATGGCGGCCGGAAAAACCCTCACCACTCCAGGTGGCCGCCATACGGCATCCTTTCGGGCATGTGCAGTTTGCATGCCCGTAGAGCTGCGCAGCAACGCGATCTGTCACCGGCCGTGTACCTCGGACACGGCCGATGACAGATCTGAGTACCGGCCCCGTTGACCAATCACAGCAGGTCACATGACAGTTGTATACAATGGATGGCTTCCTATCATTCCATCCATTGTATACAAGTGTGGCTAGCTGTGAAAGGTCACAGCGATCACATGCACAAGCTGGGCCAATCACAGCCCAGCTGTGTCATGTGATTAGCTGTGGCCAAATCACAGTTAAGAAAAAAAAAATGCTGAATTAATCGATTTCATTCAGGTAAATGTTTGCTTATAGCATAGTAATCCTTTGCTATAAGCAAATTGTGTAAAAAAAAAAAAAAAAAATAGATCACTGCCCCAAAGTAGTACAATGTTACTATGGTAACATTGTACTACTTTGGTCATAGTGAAATATGAAAAACAAATCTTAAAAAAAGAGAAAAAAATTAAATAAAAAAAAATAATTAAAAAAATTATCAATTTTTTTTTTCGTACTGTCACCAGTCAGTGTCCCTGATCACCGCCATGCCAGTTATATGATGACGCTGTACTGCACTGGTGACAGTATGTAAAAAAAATAGTGAAAATCATTTTTTTTATTCCTTCATTTCTGAAAAATTATGACAAAAAATTACAACTTCAAAAAACTCGCCATGCCTCTTATGAAATACATCGGACTGTCTACTTTGCAAAAAGGGGTCATTTGGGGGATATCTGTACTGTTCTGACATTTGGGGGATATCTGTACTGTTCTGACATTTGGGGGATATCTGTACTGTCCTGACATTTGGGGGATATCTGTACTGTCCTGACATTTGGGGGATATCTGAACTGTCCTGACATTTGGAGGATATCTGTACTGTCCTGACATTTGGGGGATATCTGTACTGTCCTGACATTTGGGGGATATATGTATCTGTACTGTCCTGACTGTTCTGACATTTGGGGGATATATCTGTACTATTCTGACATTCTTGGACCTCAAGAAATTAGATTGGCTGTCAGTACTTCAGGATTGATCAAATTTCAGATATATCCCATAGTTTGTGAACTCTATAACTTTCCTACAGACTAAATAATAAATACTAATTTGGGTTATTTTTACCAAATACATGTAGCAGAATACATCTCGGCCTAAATTTATGAAGAACAATAATTTATTTGCAAACTTTTATAACAGAAACTATGAAAACGTGTTTTTTTTTCAAAATTTTTGGTATTTTTTTGTTAATTTAGCAGAAAATAAAAACCCCAGCGGTGATTAAATACCACCAAAAGAAAGCTCTAGTCGTGTGAAGAAAATTATAAAATTTTAGTTTGGGTACAATGTTGTATGACCGCGCAATTGTCATTCAAAGTGTGAGAGCGTTGAAACCTGAAAATTGGCCTGGGCAGGAAGGGGGTAAAAGTGCCCGGTATGGAAGTGGTTATGTAGCAACATCAATGTACACAGCACTTTACATATATATTGTACATTCACATCAGTCCCTAACCCTCAAGGGGCGTACAGTCTAAGATCCCTAACTCACATTCATACACTAGGGACAATTTAGATAGGATCCAATTTACCTACCAGGATGTCCCATGCAGGCACAGGGAGAACATGCAAACTCCAGGCAGGTGGTGCTGCGGTTGGGATTTTAACCAATGACCCTAGTACTACCAGGGGAAAGTGCTAATCATTTAGCCACTGAACCCATATCTCTTATACCAACCATTAGGCCTGTGTGTTTTGTTATGAGTCATTTTTTGGACGGAAATTTGGATGTATGCTAATCTCCGAATGGGCACAGAAACAAATGGCAACAAATCCGAAAAATGTTATAACGAAATTAACAAATGTATTTGTTTCACTCAGATGATGTCACATGATGTGACAGTAGTGCAGGCCCATGGGGAAATAAATACAATTTTCAAATTTATTTGATACTTCAGATTCAGATAACGAATGGATCCAGATTTCATTCCATTTGTTAATTCGGATGCACATGACGCCAGTAGATATTGTCCAGTTAGCTTGTGCCTTTTCTCTTGGAGTGTTGGACTAGCATTGAAAATATTGAATCCTTCCGATTTGAATCCATCTGATTCGATAATATATAGAATATATAGCAATCTTCTGGAAAAACTGCAAAGTTTTTTTAATTCACCCGAACCAGCAAATATATGAAACAAATGCCGAAGGTACGAAACGAATTCTGAAAATGAATCGGTTCAACATAACGAATATAACAAAACAAAATTCCTCAACGAACGAATGCATCATCGGAAAAACTCCCCAAAAAGAAAAAATGCTCATATAGTGTACTCATTTTATATTAATAATAAAGACTGAGATAAACTCACATTCTATATATGAAACAAAATCACCCAAAATGTATAGCCATCCACCTGTTGTGCACTGCTCTTTACCCTTCAGACCATGCACCTATCGACAAGAAAACAAGCAGGTTCGCTCTCTTCAAGCCCACGTTTTTATATTGATAACAAAATTCTCAGTTAGATAAACTCACATTCTATACACTCACCGGCCACTTTATTAAGTAAACCTGTTCAATTGCTTGGTAAGACAAATTGCTAATCAGCCAATCACATGGCAGCACGTAGGCAATGCATTTAGGCATCTAGACGTGATGAAGACAACTTGCTGAAGTTCAAACTGAGCATCACAATTGGGAAGAAAGGGGACTTAAGTGACTTTGAACATGGCATGGTTGTTGGTGCCAGACAGGCTGGGCTGAGTATTTCAAAAACTGCTGATCTACTGGGATTGGCACGCACAACCATCTCTAGGGTTTACAGTGAATGGTCCAAAAAAGAGAAAATATTTAGTGAGTGGCAGTTGTGTGGACAAAAATGCCTTGTTGATGTCAGAGGAGAATGGGCAGACTGGTTCCAGATGGTAGAAAGGCAACAGTAACTCATGTCAATATGGACCAAATCTCTGAGAAATGTTTCCAACACCTTGTTGAATCTATGCCATGCATAATTAAGGCAGTTCTGAAGGCAAAATTTCCAACCCGGGACTAGCAAGGTAGACCTAATAAAGTGGCAGGTGAATGTATATGACACAACATCACACAAAAATATCTGATGTGCACATCCTATGAGGAAGTCGATCCTGACGAAACGAGCTGGGATGTGACGTCAGACGCAAACCAAAAGTTTAGCAGCGGCCATTTTGGAAAAGGTTGTACATGCTAGCATTTAGTATCCCTAATTGCAAGATAATGAGTGGCTCGATTTTAAATACTGCTGCACTATGGCCTATTTGATCTAATCTACATGGTTTTGTGAGTGTATGGAGGCATCACTAACATGAATGAGATGGTGTGGGCTTGCAGAGAGCAGACCTTTTCATACATGCTTGTTTTCATGTCGATCCGGTTAAGCAGGCCATAATGGGTCGAACATCATCCGATTTAAAAAAAAAAAGAAAAGAAAAATCAGTCGTTTGATCGGCCGACATTACCACCAACGTTAAAAAAATTGGTCGATTTTCGTCCCGTCTATGGCCGGCATTCACCCCATAACTTCTGTCCCTTGCAGAGACAGGGGAGCACACCATACAATGTGACGAAGAGGAAGAAGAAGAAGAGGAAGAGGAAGAGGAAGAGGAAGAAGAAGAATTCCAGTCCGCTATTATATTTTATATGAAAAAGTCTTGCGGTTGCAACAAATGTATCCATTTGTATCCAAATAACAACATCTGTATGCAAATAAAAACCTTGTAAAACATTATTTGGATTACAATGTTTTTATTTGGATACGGATGTTTTTATTTGGATACAAATGGATACATTTGTTGCAACCGCAAGACTTTTTCATATAAAATATAATAGCGGACTGGAATTCTTCTTCTTTTTCTTCTTCTTTTTCTTCTTCTTGCAGGTCACGGCTCATGTGCAGATTTTTTATCGGTAAAACGATCGGCCGATTTGCCCATCATTGCCGGGAAAATCGGCTGATAGTCAAAATCGGCCGCAAATTTTCCAGCATGCCTGATAAAAAAAATGTGCAAAAACCCCGAAAAAACGGCTGACCAATTAACCCACTATTGGTGCAAAAATCGGCTGATTTTTTTTTTCGCCCAAAAAATTGGCCAATTTTCGACCCGGCTATGGCTGGCATAAGGTGCATGGTCTGAAGGGAGAGGAGCAGTGCAAAACAGGTGGATGGTTACACATTTTGGGTGATTTTGTTTCATCTATAGAATGTGAGTTTATCTGAGAATGTTTTATTAATATAAAATGAGTACACTATATGTGCTTTTTTTCTTTTGGGGAGTTTATTTGATGAGGAGACAAACGGGTGGAGAACAGTGGAAAGATAATTTATAACATTGCAGGAATTGTTTGGACTGAGGGTAAGGGTAGAGGTGGTGGACACTAAGAGTTTTTCACGTGGTGGAAATAAGTTTGGCATAGTATTTTGTATTTTATGTAAGAATGACTATTTCCTTTTTATTAGCTCATTTACCCTAAAGTATTACACTATATGGGATTTATGTTTTTTGCATCGTGGGAGAGAAACACGTTAGAATCAAATTAAACACCTACATACAAGTGAAGACACAAGTGTATGGATTGAAAGGCTTTATTTGCTTCATTATCTGGTGAGAGCATGAGAAGAACATACTAATTCACATAGGAAAGTGTTTCCTGTGACTTTGGATATGAACTTTTAAGAGACTGTTATTATTAATATTATAATACAGGATTTATATAGCGCCAACAGTTTGCTCAGCGCTTTACAATATAATGAGAGACAATACAGCAACAATACAGTTCAATACAAGAGGGTCAGGAGGGCCTGATTCTGGGAGCTTACAATCTAGGAGGGAGGGGCTAGTGGTACAAAAGGTAGTAACAGTGGGGGATGGAGTGGTTGGAAGAGTAGAAGATTCCATTATTAGCTGAGGGTAGGATAGGCTTCCCTGAAGAGATAGGTTTTCAGAGATCGCCTATAAGTGAGCAGAGCAGGCGATAGTCTGATAAATTGGGGTAGAGAGTTCCAGAGGATGGGGGAAGCTCTGCAAAAGTCCTGGACATGAGCATGGGAGGAGGAGACAAGGGAGTTAGAGAGCAGGAGGTCTTGGGAGAGTACGGTTTGGGTGATATTTGGAGACAAGATCGTTGATGTAATTTGGGGCAGAGTTATAAATGGCTTTATATGTTATTGTTAATGTTTTGAATTTTATCCGTTGGGCAATGGGAAGCCAGTGGAGGGATTGGCAGAGAGAGGTGGAGGACACTGAGTGGTGGCCAGTGGAGGGATTGGCAGAGAGGGGTGGAGGATACTGAGTGGAGGCCAGTGGAGGGATTGGCAGAGAGGGGTGGAGGACACTGAGTGGAGGCCAGTGGAGGGATTGGCAGAGAGGGGTGGAGGACACTGAGTGGAGGCCAGTGGAGGGATTGGCAGAGAGGGGTGGAGGACACTGAGTGGAGGCCAGTGGAGGGATTGCCAGAGAGGGATGGAGGACACTGAGTGGAGGCCAGTGGAGGGATTGGCAGAGAGAGGGGCGGAGGACACCGAGTGGAGGCCAGTGGAGGGATTGGCAGAGAGGGGCGGAGGACACTGAGTGGAGGCCAGTGGAGGAATTGGCAGAGAAGGGCGGAGGACACTGAGTGGAGGCCAGTGGAGGGATTGGCAGAGAGGGATGGGGGACACTGAGTGGAGGCCAGTGGAGGGATTGGCAGAGAGGGATGGAGGACACTGAGTGGAGGCCAGTGGAGGGATTGGCAGAGAGGGGTGGAGGACACTGAGTGGAGGCCAGTGGAGGGATTGGCAGAGGACACTGAGTGGAGGCCAGTGGAGGGATTGGCAGAGAGGGGTGGCAGATACAGAACGGTTAGTAAGGTGGATAAGTCTGGCAGCAGCATTCATGATAGACTGAAGACTGTTAAGTTACTTATACAATATTGATCTGTCCTGCCCAGGTGGGTAATATTTCTTCCACTAGCTGGGAATACCTTTTGTAGGTCCTCAGGTGCTGAGTAATTGTTTTTAATTTATACATACAATACATGCAAGGGAA